AAAAATCAATAATTTTGACCCATACAATGTATTTTTGGCTATTGCTACAAATATACCCCAGCAACTTAAGACTGCTTTTGTGCTCCAGGGTCACAAATGAACAAAACACACATGCACAAGCTGACTGTCACACGCTAGTACAGACTGCGCTTATGTATGAGGGCGTGTTACAGGAAGTCACATGAGATGATCAATAATGATGAGCATGAGGCGTGTGCAGTCTGAATAGATGAGAAGCAGGCGTGACCTTTCACTCTATAACTCTGCTAAATATCCACTTCTTATGGCTCCTGTTACATCGTGATCTATTCCCACTGTTCCCAATTCCTGCAGCAAACTCTTGATAAATGTCAGATATATAGAAGGTATTCTCATGACGTCCAGTGCCACAAATCAACTTCATCTGGCAGTACAGTGACTGGAGAAGTATTAGCAGTAGTAAAAGTATAGCTTAAAATAAATATTTTTAATGATATAAAAAAAATTTATGTGATAAAATTAACCGATATTCCATATATATATATATATATATATATATATATATATATATATAACAGGGTTGTCATAAAATATGGTTTAAAAAATAAATATAATTAATTTAAAAATATGAATGCAATTAATATATATATATATTTTTTTAATTAATAATCAAATGATAATATCCAATTTTGGTTTTATTTATTATTATTGTTTTTCTATTTTATACATTTTACTTTTTTATGTTTACTGTTAGAAATTACTTTTGAGCCTCATTTCATTTTCATTTTTTTTTTAACCTTTGTCTCACTCATTTTCAGTTGTTAATTTTACACCTCTGTGTCAATCACTTTTTCATAAGGAATGAACAATCAAGGTATTGTTCATTATTCTGCTATATTCATGTTTTTATGCTATGTTTTTGTTCCTGGAGAACCAAATATATCCACTTATTATAGAAGGATAAAGCAGACATTGTCATCGCTTTAATGACAATAAATAACCGTTGCTACTGTAATTGTGAGAAAACAACAACAATAACAGTCATATTTGTTGACCACTGGGGAAAAAGCATTGTCAAAAGATTCACTAATGTATATGGCGTAACGGCACTAATACTTTGAGCCCAAGATATGAAAATATGATTTCATGAAAGTTCAGCAGTACATTTTCAAATTTAATTTTTTATTAAAAGAACAATTTTCTGGTACAAATGGCAGTTTCCTGACTATGACCTTTAAATACATGTGTAACACGTCTGACTTCAAGAGGATTTGCTGAGTTTTCATGGTGAATTTGATCACTATAGAGCCTTGATGAAAATGTTACTTTATCCTTCTACAGGAAGTGGATATATTTGGTTCTCCAGGAACAAAAAGTAGCATTAACATAGCAGAATAATTAACAATAACTCAATCTGATTGTTCATTCCTTATGAAAAATAACACCAAACTGGCAGCTGGGAATGTTTGTTGATGCAATCGAATACTATGGATTCTAACAGAACAAATATAAAGTTGATGAATTTTCATTAGTGATTCCTTGTGACTTTTCTGCCTGTTTGCCCTCAAGCTCAGTTTGAAGAATCTGCACTTACAAACAAGCAAACAAACACGCTGATGACTTAATTGCTGGATATGAGCAGCTGTGACTGGAGACACCTTATGGGCTTCTGGAAGAAATCAGAGCCTTCCTGCTCAGAAACATCTGGAGATTTACAAATATTTACACTTAATTACTCCTCATTTAGAGCCAACCTGGACCCACTGCACATTAAACACGCCATCAGAGAGAAAGAGACAGACATTTGACCAGTGAATCCTGCTAACAAAGGAGATGATTGCTGCTTGTTGCTCATATTAAACATCCACAGAGATTACAAGCAGGCACTTACAACAGATGCACAGAAATACAGCATGAGCTCTTAGACACCTCGTTTACTCTCACTTTATCTTCCTTCAACACATATGCACAGGTCTTGTCTGTTGTTTTTTTAATGCGCAAATGCCGTTACCTGAGAATTAACTGTCTGACCCATGGGAATCCTTGAGCACTCTAATGCAAACTGCTTCACGCAGAAATAACAGCCCTGCAACAGAGTCAGAATATGATAAGATTTATGCATCAGCTGTAGATAAATTCATAACTGCATAGTTCACCTTATTCAGGAGCTTCTTAAGGCAAAATAAATCAAAAATGGCTTAATTTGCTTTCTTAATTTGGCCTGGCCACGATTCGTCTGTGCACACTATTATGTTATTATCATCATAATAATTATCATTATAAATATTAGCAAACTGAACAAATATAAATATCTCTTTTATAATCACCTGTGAAATAGAAAAACTTTTCACCCATATATAAATAAATAAATAAATAAATAAATAAGCACTATTCTGAACCCATTTATTAAAACAAGACTGAACCTTATCATTCATTTTCTTTATTATTATTATATTATTCAAATTTCAGATTTGTGATTTGAATAATAACAAACCAATAATAATAATAATAATAATACTTTTATTATTATCGCCATTATTATCATTATTTCTATTATTATTATTATTAGAATTATTAACACAGGGAATGCAACTCTGGCAATAAATAAATAAATAAATACTATTCTGAACCCATTTATTAAAACAAGACTGAACCTTATCATTAAGGGAATGCAACTCTGGCAATAAATAAATAAATAAAATAAATAAATAAATAAATACATGCATACATACAACTTTCAGCACAATTTATGGACTTGTATTTTTGCCACTGACTCATGCATAAGTAATCTGCTGGTGTTGAAAATTTCTATGAATGACTGGTGTTTTACTCGTGGGTAAACAGAGATTTCAATCAGAATAAAACTGTTATTAATAGCAATAATTTGACATTGAGTTGAGAGAGATATTAAACATGAGCAGAGCTGGAGATCAGATCATGACGCAGTGTTTCCTTGCTGTTGATTCTGTGTGTTCAAATATTAATAAGCATAAATAGCGCCAGAGCGAAGCAGAATCCATTAAACATCTCTCTCCTCAGCGTCCGCTAAGACTTTCACAGCGTTCCTGTGAAAAGCCCAGCGTTTGCTCTCGGCTGATGTGCTAAAAGGGGCGATTCTATGTGAGACACATAGACACATGAAGGTCTCACTTGAAAAGCCAGCTCCATCAGGACGATTCCTCCCGGCAGCGCCCTCTGCAGGTGATATGATGCCGAGCTCGATGCATTGCTCTGCTGAGAGATGCAGAAAGCACACAATCAGTGTGTGTGTGTGTGTGTGTGTGTGTGTGTTAGCCATTCTCTATAGCAGTGGTGCTGGTGCAAGTCATTTTATTACAGATGTATTACTGTTCAAATATTAGGGTCAGTAAGATTTTTTTTAAAGAAATTAATATTTTTATTCAGCAAAGATGTATTAAATTGTTCAAAAGTGACAGTAATGGCATTTATAATATTACAAAATATTAATATTTTAAATAAATACTGTTCTTTTGAACTTGCTGTTCATCAAAGAATCCTGAAAAAAATGTATCACCGTTTCCACAAAAATATGAAGCAGCACAACTGTTTTCAGCATTGATAATAATCAGAAACAACTGCTAAAAAAAATTCAGTTTGTCATACATAAATAAATTATATCTTAAAATATATTCAAATAGAAAAGTTATTTTAAATTATAATAATATTTCACAATATTACTGATTTTACTGTATTTTTAATCAAACAAATATAGCCTTGCTGAGCAGAAGAGACTTCTTTCAAAAACATAAAAAACAATTACTGACTCCAAACGTTTGAATGGTAGTGTACACATTTTTAATGTTAACAGAAAATTGTGTTGCACGTTATTAAAAACAATGATTTCATACACTATTTAAGGGGAAAGTGGTTTCACATTTTGTTATTTTCATTTTTTAACCATTTATTTATTATTATATACTATTTTTTAATTACATTAAACCTCATTGGTGTCTTTTGACCATTCAAAACCATCACATGGAAAGTAAAAATTGCTAGAATTTTCATTTTTGGGTGAATTATTCATTTAAGGTCTCATTAAACAGCCTATTCATGTAAAGATTTTATTTTCATCTTTTTACCCTTTCTTCAAATATGATTTTGCCTTTACTCAGATAGGATCCAGAATGGGACAAGGAGTGTGTCAATGGAAATGGAGTGAATGTGTGTGTGTGTGTGTGTGTGTGTGTGTGTGTGTGTGTGTGTCTTTGAACTGTGATGCACATAGAGAAATGCATGTGAAATTTAGATGTGAATTAAGAAAAACTGGAGTGTGACTGAATGGTTGAATATGGATGAGCAGATAAAGTACCTTGGGGCTGTCTTCACTCTTCTGCTTACTATATGAGAAAGAGGAGAAGGATGATCTGCCTTCAGTGGATAAAGAACTCAACATGGCAGCTCGGGCTCGAGCGATGCTGCAGAGAGAATGAGAGAGAGAGAGAGTGAGAGAGCATGTGTGTGTGTGCGGCCCATTGGGCATCTGACCCCGTCAGTAACGCGGCCCTCACGCTGCCGACCACACTGAATCACACGCTCCTGCTGCTTAATGCAGTGTGTCCAGCATTAGCACATCACACACACTGTACAGAGACCTGCCTTCAGCAAAAAGCACTCATTCTTGAACTTATTGTCGCCAAATGACTAAAGTTTTCATACAAACGTCATGTTTGAGATTCCAGTTTGGTTGGTATAAAAGCTATTTTCACAAATTTACCTTGACGTAAATGCAGGCTAAATGCTCTGTGACAGAAAGAGTGAAGTGAATAACAGTGTTTATGACTGAAATGCACAGTTCAAAACCACTTGTTTGATATCCGGAAACATACATCACATTCAAGTCCTCCTGGAAAGGTCGAATTAACGAGTTGGGAAGACGTCACTTTGTTCAGAGGAAGATGGCGATGTACATTTTCTATATAAAATTCAACAAGAAATTCAATTTCAATCTCCAAAATGATAAATAAAGAATGTGCATCAGGTGTTTTTTTGTGTGCTTTTTTTCTGTTTTCGTTCTATTTATGAAGGTGGTACTTTTTGAATCGTTATGTATTCTACCATAACACTATGGTATTTTGTACATGCATGCTTAGTTTAATTATATATTTAAAAAAAATCACTTTAAGTGCTACATAATAAGTATACAGTAATAAAACACTTATAAATCATTTGCAAACTAATAGTTACTAGTTAATTCATAGTTTATAAACTGTTGTCTCTATATTGTTAATACATTAATAGGCTATGTACAAATAGTGAGTTCACTGTGACTAATTTTCAAATGATTATTTTTTAATCAGCTGTAAAGAGTAATATCGCGTTTGTATCCTTTTTTTTTGTACTCACTGTATTCTAATGATCTCATGAGTATCTCTATGCATTTTATGCAACATTATGTTTGCATAGAAACAAAAAAGTACAATATTTACCGCCAATGTACATTTTTCTGCCTATTACATACATTATATATATATATATATATATATATCTATATATATAGAGAGAGAGAGAGAGAGATATATATATACGCCAGTATTTTGGCTAATTTTGAGTCGGAGTGACTGTCAGGCGTCTAAAAGTGAGTTTTGATTGAGTAACTTGTAGATCTGTAAACTGCGTATTGTTTCAGATGGTTCAGTCCGATTTGGTGAACTGGTTTAACCTGTTCACTAAAAAGAACCAGTTCAAAAGAATGATTCATTTGTGAATCGAACATCACTCCGGACCGTCTGACTGAAGCTCTGGATTACAGGTAACAATTTAGGAAATATTGTTCAGTTTCTTGCACAGACTGATCATTTCGATTCGTAAGACCTCAATATATCTTCAGGAGCCACGGTGTTACTTGCTATGCTTTTTTTAAATTCTCAAATTCACCTACATCTTAGATGGCCTGAGGGTGAGTAAATTAATAGCAAATTTGAATTTTTGGGTGAACTATCCCTTTAAAGAGCTATTTTGACCTGATTTAAACCATAAAAATGAATATTGTTGGTATAAATTATTATATCTAGGTTGATTCAGTGATTATAATATTTTTGACTTGAATTAAACTAGTTCATTTAGATGTGACCATTTTTAGGTTACTGTTTCTGTTGCGCTCAACTCATAAATCTGATCTTTCCAACATGACCTGAACGCATCCGTAGTGATTTTCTGCAGGACACAGACCTGCGAGCGGGCGACTGCGGCCGGACCTGCACCAGGATGAAGCCCATGCTCTGCAGATACTGCACATACTGCTGCAGGAACATGCTGGAGATCTCCTGCAGCCACGGCTCCTCCTTCAATCGACTCGGACGCATGTCTGCCGAATCCGTGCTGTAGCTGCGATCGCGGCCGGACGCCGTGGAGTCACTGGAGCGATGCCGCTTCTTTAAGCCGAGAACGAGAGGGTGTCAGACAATGAAACAGAACAGAAAATCTGAACTGAATTCACTACACAGCCAGACTTTTGACTATCAGCATAAAGTCTGGTCCATATTGAGCCTAAAGCTGTCCACTTATGCAGGAAAAGCGAGCAACCGCATGTTTTTGTATGACATGATTTAGTGTGGGTCAATCTAAAATTCAGAGAAAACGTGGAGTATACAGGTGCACAGTGTGCCTGTGCTATCTTTATATAAAATATATATGAGATATATATAAATATATATTTATATATGAGACTTGCCTCTATGCCACTTCAATCATCAACAACAAAATCATGATTATTCTTGTGATACGCTGACACACGTGTGCTCATTATCACACCTGACACATGTAATTACATAGAGGTGATATTTACGATCTGTTTTGCATTTAGACTTAAGATGATAATAATAATAATAATGACCCTAATAATAGTTAAATCATATAATAATAAAAACAGTAACAATAACAAACAATAAATAAATAAATCTTATGCACTTACATTGGAATTATATGGTTCAGTTATAGTTAATAATAATACTAATAAATTTTAACTAATTATTTATTATTATTATTAAATATAACAACAATAATAATAATAGCATCAATAATTATGTTATAATAATAAAAATGTATTATAATATTATTATTTATATTAACTTGAATAATAATAAAAACAACAACCCTAAAAATTAAATGTTATAATAGCAATAACAAAACTAAAAACAAACAAACAATAAGTAAAACAATTAATAAAAAAAAAATCTTATGCACTCACAATGGAATTATATGGTTCATATTTATGTTTATTATTATTATTAGGGTTATACGTATGGTCAGGGATTTGAACTTCTAACCCTAAATCAGGCTTCAAAATGATGGTATTTATAAATGCAGTGTGAACCAGCAGACAGACCCCGCAGGAGGAGGAAGATGAAGAGGAAGAAAGAGAGACCTTCATCTGGGGCTGAGGCAGCTGTTCCTCTTGAATCTGTTTCCGGAAGACAGGGTCGAAGAGCAGCGGAGTGGCGCAGTAATGGACCAGTCGAGAGGACTGCTTTAGTGTGTCCAGATCGGCCACCTGAGCACAGACACACACCAGACACACGGAGAGAGCGTTTCCAGATTTACACCCAGAATTCCTTCATTTGCTGCAACAGCTATTGTTTTATAAAGGTGAAGTGTGCAACGGTTTCAGTGTGTAAATACATTCCATCTCAGTTTAATATGCTGATTTTATCCTAAAAAGTCTGTGGTGCTTTTAAAACATTGATCAAAACCTGTTCGACACACTGACTCAACCAATGGTTTGTATCTGGAAAATTTACAATCAGTATATACTGTGAATATACACTACAGTTCAAAGAGGCCAGTAAGATTTGTAATATTTTTGAAGTCTCTTCCGCTCATCAAGGCTGCATTTATTTGATTATAATAAATACTTAAATACATTAAAATCAGTAATATTGTGAAATATTATTACAATTTAAAATAACTGTTTTCTGTGTGAATATATTGTAAAATGTAATTTATTCCTGTGATGCGCAGCTGAATTTTCAGCATCATTACTCCAGTCTTCAGTGTCACATGATCTTCAGAGATCATTCTAATATGCTGATTTGCTGCTCAAGAAACATTTCCGATTATTATCAATGTTGATATTTTTGTGGAATATGTAATACATTTTTTCAGGATTCTTTAATGAATAGAAAGTTCAAAAGAACAGCATTTATTTGAAACAGAAATCTTTCGTAATATTATAAATGTCTTTACTGTCACTTTTGATCCATTGAATGCATCCTTGTTGAATAAAAGTATTAATTTCTTTCAAGAACAAAAACATCTTACTGACCCCAAACTTTTGAATGGTACTGTACTTACAGTAGTGGTGACCTGCAGTATAATAATAACACATTTGTCTGGATCTCAGCAGTGTGAAAGAGCCTCAAAGAAGTGCGATCACAGCCAATGACAGAGGCATCTCACACACTACAGCGTCTCCTAATGTCCTCGCCATATCTCATTAGACCCAACCGGGCTTTACACACCGACGAGGATCTGCATGTGTGTGTGTGTGTGTGTGTGTGTGTGTGTGAAGCAGAGGATCAGCGCACTGGGATGAATCTGGACCTGATGAGCCACTGGGAAAATCATGCTCTGAGAGTGTGATGGAAAATACCCATCACACATTATCTCTCGGCGCAGAGGCTGTGTGCAGCGGTGTACTCGCACCGAGCCTGTGTGAACTCACAGAGATGGGCATGTTGGACTGAGCAGAGCGCTGCTGCCACGTCACAAACAGATTCTCAATCTTCATCTGTCTCTCCAGCTCTGCAACACACAAGACAAATCTCAGAATAAATCACATGCTTTCTGTGGCTGAGGTTCAGATTTCAAATTATGCCACAATCATTTCTTTCTTCTTTCTTTCTTTCTTTCTTTCTTTCTTTCTTTCTTTCTTTCTTTCTATCATCTGACTATTTTGACTATTTTATCTATCTATCTATCTATCTATCTATCTATCTATCTATCTGACTATTTACAATGAAACAGAACAGAAAATCTGAACTGAATTCACTACACAGCCAGACTTTTGACTATCAGCATAAAGTCTGGTCCATATTGAGCCTAAAGCTGTCCACTTATGCAGGAAAAGCGAGCAACCGCATGTTTTTGTATGACATGATTTAGTGTGGGTCAATCTAAAATTCAGAGAAAACGTGGAGTATACAGGTGCACAGTGTGCCTGTGCTATCTTTATATAAAATATATATGAGATATATATAAATATATATTTATATATGAGACTTGCCTCTATGCCACTTCAATCATCAACAACAAAATCATGATTATTCTTGTGATACGCTGACACACGTGTGCTCATTATCACACCTGACACATGTAATTACATAGAGGTGATATTTACGATCTGTTTTGCATTTAGACTTAAGATGATAATAATAATAATAATGACCCTAATAATAGTTAAATCATATAATAATAAAAACAGTAACAATAACAAACAATAAATAAATAAATCTTATGCACTTACATTGGAATTATATGGTTCAGTTATAGTTAATAATAATACTAATAAATTTTAACTAATTATTTATTATTATTATTAAATATAACAACAATAATAATAATAGCATCAATAATTATGTTATAATAATAAAAATGTATTATAATATTATTATTTATATTAACTTGAATAATAATAAAAACAACAACCCTAAAAATTAAATGTTATAATAGCAATAACAAAACTAAAAACAAACAAACAATAAGTAAAACAATTAATAAAAAAAAAATCTTATGCACTCACAATGGAATTATATGGTTCATATTTATGTTTATTATTATTATTAGGGTTATACGTATGGTCAGGGATTTGAACTTCTAACCCTAAATCAGGCTTCAAAATGATGGTATTTATAAATGCAGTGTGAACCAGCAGACAGACCCCGCAGGAGGAGGAAGATGAAGAGGAAGAAAGAGAGACCTTCATCTGGGGCTGAGGCAGCTGTTCCTCTTGAATCTGTTTCCGGAAGACAGGGTCGAAGAGCAGCGGAGTGGCGCAGTAATGGACCAGTCGAGAGGACTGCTTTAGTGTGTCCAGATCGGCCACCTGAGCACAGACACACACCAGACACACGGAGAGAGCGTTTCCAGATTTACACCCAGAATTCCTTCATTTGCTGCAACAGCTATTGTTTTATAAAGGTGAAGTGTGCAACGGTTTCAGTGTGTAAATACATTCCATCTCAGTTTAATATGCTGATTTTATCCTAAAAAGTCTGTGGTGCTTTTAAAACATTGATCAAAACCTGTTCGACACACTGACTCAACCAATGGTTTGTATCTGGAAAATTTACAATCAGTATATACTGTGAATATACACTACAGTTCAAAGAGGCCAGTAAGATTTGTAATATTTTTGAAGTCTCTTCCGCTCATCAAGGCTGCATTTATTTGATTATAATAAATACTTAAATACATTAAAATCAGTAATATTGTGAAATATTATTACAATTTAAAATAACTGTTTTCTGTGTGAATATATTGTAAAATGTAATTTATTCCTGTGATGCGCAGCTGAATTTTCAGCATCATTACTCCAGTCTTCAGTGTCACATGATCTTCAGAGATCATTCTAATATGCTGATTTGCTGCTCAAGAAACATTTCCGATTATTATCAATGTTGATATTTTTGTGGAATATGTAATACATTTTTTCAGGATTCTTTAATGAATAGAAAGTTCAAAAGAACAGCATTTATTTGAAACAGAAATCTTTCGTAATATTATAAATGTCTTTACTGTCACTTTTGATCCATTGAATGCATCCTTGTTGAATAAAAGTATTAATTTCTTTCAAGAACAAAAACATCTTACTGACCCCAAACTTTTGAATGGTACTGTACTTACAGTAGTGGTGACCTGCAGTATAATAATAACACATTTGTCTGGATCTCAGCAGTGTGAAAGAGCCTCAAAGAAGTGCGATCACAGCCAATGACAGAGGCATCTCACACACTACAGCGTCTCCTAATGTCCTCGCCATATCTCATTAGACCCAACCGGGCTTTACACACCGACGAGGATCTGCATGTGTGTGTGTGTGTGTGTGTGTGTGTGTGAAGCAGAGGATCAGCGCACTGGGATGAATCTGGACCTGATGAGCCGCTGGGAAAATCATGCTCTGAGAGTGTGATGGAAAATACCCATCAAACATTATCACACGCCGAGCCTGTGTGTAGCGGTGTACTCGCGCTGAGTCTGAGTGAACTCACAGAGATGGGCATGTTGGACTGAGCCGAGCGCTGCTGCCACATCACAAACAGATTCTCAATCTTCATCTGTCTCTCCAGCTCTGCAACACACAAGACAAATCTCAGAATAAATCACATGCTTTCTGTGGCTGAGGTTCAGATTTCAAATTATGCCACAATCATTTCTTTCTTCTTTCTTTCTTTCTTTCTTTCTTTCTTTCTTTCTTTCTTTCTTTCTTTCTTTCTTTCTTTCTTTCTTTCTTTCTTTCTTTCTTTCTTTCTTTCTTTCTTTCTTTCTTTCTTTCTTTCTTTCTTTCTTTCTTTCTTTCTTTCTTTCTTTCTTTCTTTCTTTCTTTCTTTCTTTCTTTCTTTCTTTCTTTCTTTCTTTCTTTCTTTCTTTCTTTCTTTTTCTCTTTCTTTCCGTTTGTGCTTCTGTTTGTACTTTTTCTTAATTAAACTCTTTCTTTCCTTTTATACTTTTCTTTAACTTCTTTTCATTTTTCTTTTTCATACAATTACAGTTGCTTTCTTTTTCCTTAATTTTATTTGTACTTTCATATACTTTTGTTGTTCTTTCATTGTAGTTTTTAGGAAGTAACTTTAATTCACACTTGCATTTTTATTTTTATTTATATTTGATACTTTTTCTCAACTGTTTTTGTTTTTTTCCCTGTTTGTTCTTTAATTCATACTTTCATATTTTGGTCTTTTTGTTTATACATTTTAATATTGTTTTCTTATTTGTATGATTGTCTTTCATTATTTTTTTCATTCTCGTTATGTTCTCTTTCTTTCTTTCTTTCTTTTATTTTTGTACATTATTGTACTTGTTTTCTTTTTGCTTTTTTATTTCTTTGTTCGCACTTTCATATACTTTTCATTGTATTTTGGTTCTTTCATTTCTTTCTTTCTTTACACTAAAAATTTGACTTTTTTTTTATAATTTTTTGGTTCTTTTTATTTTTGTTTTTCATAAGTTTGTACTTTATTTTGTACTTGGATTCGTACATACTTCTGCTTTTCTTTTTATACTTTTACACCATTTTTTCCCTTTAATTCATATTTTCCATATCTTTTTTCTTTTGCTCATATTTTCATTTTTTAATCATTTTCTTTTTCATAATTTTTTTTGTTTTTTTTTCTTTCTTTCTTTCTGACTCCTCAACAGCGCGCTCTCTGTGATGGTGGATGTGAGTTGCGTGTGTGTGTGAGTTGATGTGTGTGTACCTCTGCGTTCAGCGGCTTTGACCTCCAGTAGCTGGGCTCCATGGCGAGTGACTATATCGGGTCCGTCCTGACTGGTCAGGGGCCTCACCGTGTTCACGTCTCTCAGAGCTTCATCAAAGGGCACGAGTTCTCCGGGGAAGGCCAGAGGAGGAAGAGCACGCGCAGAGCTGCCCATCCGACCCTGATCCTTACTTGCGGCCGGAGGAACCGGACTCCTCAACAGAGCGTCCGCCTCGATCGTGGAGCTCAGGAACGGGCTGGGCTCCTGCTAACAACCAAATACATGCATGAGACAGATGAATAAATAATTAAACACTCAATGAATGATTATCAAGAAAAAAAAAAGAAAAAAAAGAAAAAGAAATCGATATAAATGAAAAAAATGAAAAAAATAAGTGAAAAAAGAAAAAAAATGACAAAGTCATTATAAGTATGAATTAAAGAACAGAAAACAACTGGTGTAAAGAAGTATGAAAAGATAATTATGAAGCAAACAAAAAAGAAAATTACCAAAAAAAAAGAACCAAAATATAAAGAAACCTATATGAAAGTATAAAGAAAAAAAAAACAAGTACAAATGTACAAAAATGAAAATAGGGTGAACAAAGTATGAACAAAGGAATGAAGAAATTAAGAAAGAAAGAAATATTACAAAAAAATGTAAAAATTGCGAAAGAAAACTATACAAATAAGAACAAAGTATGAAAATGTATAAACAAAAGAAATAAGAAAAAATATGGAAAATAACAAAAAACAAACTGTTGTGAAAAATATGAGATTGTGAAAATTATGAAGCGAAAAAAACATATGATTAAAGTTACTTACAAAAAATTATGAAAAAAAAACAAAATTATATATAGTATATGAAAGTACAAACAAAACAAAGAAAAAAATAATGCAAGTACAAAAAGAAAAATTAAAGAACAAAGGTATAAAAAGTATGAAAAATAGCAAGAAAGAAAGAACAAATGAAATTAAGAAAAAAGTACAAACAGAAGAACAAACAAAAGGAAAGAAAGAAAAGCCAATGATGTTTCATAAAGCAGAATTTCCCGTGTGAATTCAAAGCTCAGCTCTCATCAGCCTTCAGAAACTCACTCACAGACGCTGAGATTTGATGTCAAACTTCGTGTTCATCAGCGTTAAACTCACTGACACGCAGAGATCACGCCAGCATGAGGGCCTTTCCTCAAGACCACCGATTAACACGCAGCTGATCAGAGCACAAGAGAGAAGAACTAACCAAACTCCTTCTGAAGACCTTGCCTCTCTTCTTGTGGGAACTTTGGGGTTTTTGAGTTAGTGTTTGGAAGACTAGTTAAAGTCCTTCAGGGCGAGTTGGAGGCTTTTCTAAAAGAAGCTGGAGCAGATGCCCATGTGCCTGAACTTAAGCGCCTGAACTCCGCCCTCTGGGACTCTGACAGATGATTGACAGTTAGGGCAAATTTTCTGCTATGCTGGATCCGCCTCCTGTTAGCATTCATTAAGAGAACAGATTAAAAGTGTGGAGCCACTGACGAGGAAATAAAAGAGTTCTGTCCTTCACTTTCTAGGCAAATGTAGATGTTCAGTTTATTTGTGCTTCAATAACATGATAAAGTGTGTGTGATCTTTTTGAACACATATTTCCGATCTACTAAAATTGCTAAATTATGCAGCCATGTGATTAAAAACTCAGTCAAGTGAAGAGAGAAAAGTCTGAAAGCATTCCCAACATTCACTATATAGTACTGCGGACTCTTTAGTTAAAACACAAGACAATACCATTTGTATCCTCTCTGGTTACTTTGTGCTACTATTACAAGTGACGTGGCAACAATGGATTTTGAACAATTTACATCAAATTTTATTTGGAACAACAAATAAAGCATAGATCCTGCACATAACTGAAACTTGCATCATTACAAAATTGATCAATCTTATACCAACCCCAAACTTTCAAACAGCATTGTATCTTTATAATTTAGTACGTATTGATGCTGAAGAATTTATGGTGCTCCATTAATCACTAAAATATTTAGCTGATTATTTATATAATCAATAGTGACGCTCTAAACTTAGAAACTCAAGTCAGCAGCTAAATCAGTCCCACCATTAAATTTCTCTTCTTTTTTTTGTTTTCTCACGTACATATACACAAAGGCCCAACACACAAACTAAAGAGCCGACAGGGGCTGATTGACATGAAGGGATCAAACGAAGAGCGAACAATGATGATCTCTGTGGCATCTCTCCCTCAATCTGTTTCCTTAAGGACAGACACAGACAAACGATGAGCGAAGTGATATTAGAGTCCACCGTCCAGGGAAGAGAGCTCGTATCATCTGACAGACTACACTCCAGATATTCTCACCCACAAACAACGGCTCAAACCCTACTGACTGCCTGCCGGAAACTCAACGCGTCTAAATCACACCAGAAGGAACGGTCTTTATTCTGGAGAAGAATCTCATGGGTTTGTGTTTATCTGCTCCCACACACAGACACAGACGAGCATCGCTTTAAACAAGTAATTTAAAGAAGTTTTGTAGCATTTGGTTTGTTTTCCCTGATGTTCACCCATAATGCTGAGGTCAAGCTTAACTAAAACGCCATCATTTAGTTTATCAGTGCAGTGCGATTAACCAATACTGGACATGAGATTATGAATTTTACTCTTTAAATGAGTCATTCAAACACAATTATTTACCAGCTTGAATCAAACCTAGTCTTATGAATTAACTGACTCACGTCACTTGCAAGCTATCATTCAGATGATGTCCATCTTGAAATAGACATACTGTATAATAAAAACCTGGTTCATTTTGAGAAGAACATGACTGAAGACTCCTCAGCTGCAAAAACAGGATTCTGTACAAAACACACTCTCAGAAATACTTGATTCTGATTGGTCAACGAGGTCTTTGGTGCTCAAATATTTTTATATAATGACACTGAACTGTATAATTGAGTGTTGAACCAAATATGAGACTTATATTTATGCATTTGGAAGGTGCTCAAGGACTGACATTGTGTCAGACTCTGTTCCGTGTTTTGTGGTTGTTTTCCTCATGTGCCTTCCTTTCCCATGTTTAATTTATCCCAGGTGTTTCCTTGCTCCGTGTTCCCGCACCGTAGCAGATCGTAACACATTGCATGTAAGGAATACATTTGAATAAATTCATGCATTCCTTGCTCTGCTGTTTAAGCGGTTTAAAAAGTTATTTAAAACTGAATAAATAAAGAAATGGACATTAAATATTAATTTATTCTATTTTCATTTATTTATTATCTATGTTCCATATATTTATTACCCATCTATATTATTTTTTATCTATCTATCTATCCATAATTTTTATCATCTATCTATCCATCCATCCATCCATCCATAATTTGATCATCTATCTATCTATCCATCCATCCATCCATTATTTTATCATCTATCTATCTATCTATCCATCCATCCATCCATCCGTTATTTTATCATCCATCCATCTATCTATCTATCTGTCTATCTATATTATGTATATTACAATATGTATATTGTTACAATAGCCCTGTAATAATGACCAACTATCTGTATATTAACTATCTTATTAAAAAAACACTAAAAGTTCTGATATTTCTTCTTAAATGTTGATAAGAAATGTATGTGTGTCATTATCAGTGCAGGCACATGACTGTCACAGGCGGTTCTGTTAAAGGCCTTTAGCTTTAACACAAATGCTCTCGATAACGACATCAACAACTGTCTGCATTCCCAAAATACATCCGACATTTGCTGCGAAATCTTGACAAACAGCTGACAACTGAATAAATAACAGTGAACGCCGCGACAGAAGGTTTCGTCTCTTTACTGGCAGAACCAACATCTATCTATCCATCCATCCATCCATCCATTATTTTATCATCCATCCATCTATCTATCTATCTGTCTATCTATATTATGTATATTACAATTTGTATATTGTTACAATAGCCCTGTAATAATGACCAACTATCTGTATATTAACTATCTTATTAAAAAAACACTAAAAGTTCTGATATTTCTTCTTAAATGTTGATAAGAAATGTATGTGTGTCATTATCAGTGCAGGCACATGACTGTCACAGGCGGTTCTGCTAAAGGCCTTTAGCTTTAACACAAATGCTCTCGATAACGACATCAACAACTGTCTGCATTCCCAAAATACATCCTGACATTTGCTGCGAAATCTTGACAAACAGCTGACAACTGAATCAATAACTATTAACTATCTTATTAAAAAAACACTAAAAGTTCTGATATTTCTTCTTAAATGTTGATAAGAAATGTATGTGTGTCATTATCAGTGCAGGCACATGACTGTCACAGGCGGTTCTGTTAAAGGCCTTTAGCTTTAACACAAATGCTCTCGATAACGACATCAACAACTGTCTGCATTCCCAAAATACATCCGACATTTGCTGCGAAATCTTGACAAACAGCTGACAACTGAATCAATAACAGTGAACGCCGCGACAGAAGGTTTCTGCTCTTTACTGACAGAACCAACAAACATGTTCTGCTGCATTAACTGCGAACAACTAAAACACAGCGTGATTCAATTTGCTCTGTTCAAACGAGCTCGACTCTGGGCAGGAATAAACTGTGTTAGCAGCGCAGTGATGTCTGGTTTCAGCAGGACCAGCGGTCTGGGTCGTTGCCAGGTGTTTGGTGTTAGCAGGTGTGTTGGAGTGATTAGCGTCCTGCCCCGCGGCCGTGACAGCTGTCCGTCACTCAGAGCGATATGTCAGACCGCCCCGGAGAGCGCCGGACACTCATGTGCTGCTTAAACCAGTTCACCAGTGCTATCTGTACTTAAACTGTGCAAACACACACTGTCCTAAAAGCTCATCCTAACCAAAGTCCAGCAATCCATGACAGCTGCAGAGTGTGCATGATGAGAATAACATACTATGTACTATTGTTGACAGAAGGTAGTACGCAGTGTGTACAGTACTGTTGGAAAGATCAGGGTAAACAAGTCTTTCTTTTCTTTTTGAAGGAAGTTAATACTTTTATTCAGCAAGGATGCATTAAATTGATCAAAAATGACAGTAAAGACATTTTAAATAAATTCTATTCTTTTAAACTTTCTTTTCATCAATGATTTCTGAAGGATCATGTGACACTGAAGACTGGAGTAATGATGCTGAAAATTCAGCTTTGATCACAGAAATAAATTACATTTTACAATATATTCACATAGAAATGTGTTATTTGAAATTGTAATAATATTTAACAATATTGCTGATTTTATTGTATTTTTTATCAAATTAATGCACACTTGGCGAGCAGAAGAGACTTCTTTCAAAAATATATATATAAAAAAAAATCTTACCAACCTCAAACGTTTGAATGGTAGTCTAATATTGTGCAAAGTATCCAAATGTGCAGTATAGAATTAGGACACACTGTGGCTGAATGCTGAACAGCATTTCTTTATATAGCAAAAATAATAAAAATAGCCTGCTAATATGCAAATAAGCTATCCTGAATTCAGTCTGTGTAATGCAATGCTCTCAAATTAACAAGGAATCATGATATCAGTCATGAACTGTGATATATATATTTTTTTTTGAAACAAAGAATAATGGCCGCTCATATAATTGGATGTAGCTGGCTGAAATAAACATACATAATGAGATTGTTTATGTATGTAATGTATACTGCTTCATATACTGTTTCTAATGAATCGTTTGAGTATGCAGCATGCTAGTGTTGCATTGAGAACACAGCCGGTGTGTTTGTGTACTGACCTGTTTCAGGTCCTCGTGTGTAGGCGTATCAGAGAAGCAGTAATGATGGAAAAGGCCCATTTTCTGACTCAGGAGGCAGTTGACCACATGAGCGCGGGCGTTCTGCCACTGCACCAGTCTGACCAGACCCTGATTCAGAGAGACGCCCAGATCCACCGACCAGTTATACGCGTACAGAGTCACCTGGAAACACGGAAACATGGCAATATAATATAAAACAGAAAGAACTAAGCACACAAATCCACCTTGCACATCAAAGTCTATCCACACTTGAAGACAAAAATAGTGCATGACGCGGCACAATCACAGCTGATTAGAACACACTCAATGTTTAATATGCAGCTGTGTGGTATTTTAGACAAATGATATTTCACCGTGGGCAGCAAAATGTCCCGTTGCCTGTCGCAGCTGGTTAAGAGAAAAACATTCATGCAAGAGAGTTTTTAATAGCGTGTTGCTTACGCAAGTCACGGCTGGTTATATTCAACTCAACTGACCTTCTTATTGACAATTTGCATGTACAGGAAGCGCTGGCGTGGAGCCACGCCCCTCACAGCCTGTCCCGGGCTCAGCCAATCACTGTGCTCCAAAGCCTCGAACCGCTGCATGCCCTTATGAGCTTTAAGAAAGACAGGATTCTTTGTTATTTGGGTAAAGATGATAGACAGAGTAAGAAATAAAGATCCACACAAGGAAAAGGCCACTTCAGAATTTATTCAGTTTAACTGTGAATAACATCTATAGGATTTAAATCATAAAATGTAATTAATATTAAATCATATACAAGGCTCATTGCATTTAAAAAAAAATGAATGAAAGGTTTCACAGCCTTGAGGCAGGACATTTATATAATCTATACAGAGTGTGTTTGAGGAGAGATTGAACACAGAACTCACTCTCTAGAGTAACAGAGGGCAAACTCAGGGCTTTATGACATTCTCTCCTTTATTAAATTCTAATATCATTTAAATACCAACATCGGACCAAATACTCATCTAGATGTGTAGAATGTAATGTAGAACTTATATAAAAAAATGAAACTCAGTAGGTTTCAATAGTAGAGTACACGCAGGGCTAAAATTATCTCATAAACATGCATCAATGAGTGAATCTTCAATTAGGGACACTTTTAACTACTGAAAAGCTTGAATTAAAGCTCGAAAGCTTTAAATACCTGTTATTTATTTCAAACAATTTATTACGTCCTGGAATAAAGATGTTCAACAGTAAAGTGGATTTTGGTGTTAACTGTGATGATAATGGCAGCACTATGTAGATAGATAGATAGATAGATAGATAGATAGATAGATAGATAGATAAAATAATTATACGTGATTCTTAATGGTCTTGGGCAAAAGTTAAAAGTTACAATTTCTCATCAAATTTCATAAATTTATTATAGTTGGAAATATGTTGATTTTTGAAATAAATAAGTCAATAAATTCATACATACGTATATACACATACATACATAAAATAATTAAAAATGTGCCTTTTTATGGTCTAGGGTAAAAGTAAAATGTACAAAAAATGTCATACAATTATTATAGTGGAAAGTTTAGGTGATTCTTTTGTTCATAAATGAATGAATGAATGCATGAATGAATCAATCAATGAGTGAGTGAACAAATGAGCGAATGAACAAATTAATGGATGAACAAATTAATTTTAATGGTCTTGGGTAAAAGTAAAAGGTACAGTTAAATTTATTTTTATTATATATATTCTTAATTTCTAATCAATTTTCATACATTTATTATAGTGGAAACTCTGACAATTCTTTTTTTATATAAATGAATGAATGATTGAATGGATGAATAAAAAATATTTTTTAATGGCTTTAGGTAAAAGCTACAATTTCTCTGATCAATTTTTATACATTTATTATAGTGAGGATGTTTGAAAGTATGGGTTGGGACAAGGCCAAAAAGCACACAAACTTGCACATTTTGCCTTTTAAAGCTATAAAAAAAACTGAGTAAAAAAAGAAAGAAAAGTCCAATTGAAGAATCACTCAAATATATTGACCCTGATGAAGTGTGTCTGGTGTAATGGAGTGATCTGGAGGAAGGGCCTCTGCTGTCGTTGCAACAGTGAGGGCCACTAGGGGCCCCAAAAGGGGCCAAACTTACGTGTGCACCTATTTAGTACTGGACTGTTCTCTTCATCTGAACTGTCTTCTGTTGGCAAACAGAGATGAGCACACACAGCTTTGCAAAATGAGACAACTCTATGTTAATGCTGCATTCACACACACACACGCAGCTTTGCAAGTAACAACATAAGCAAAAGAATCTATGAATCTATGATAACAGAATAGCAACACGTATACTAATCATTCAGTAAATACTCCTACACTAAAAGAGATGTACACATTCAGCAATACTACAAAACACACAAAAAGAAAGAAAAAACATTTGTTAGCAAGATCAAAAGAAGATAAAAACACAAAGTACAGCGATGTAGTGAGAGATTCAAGCAGAAGGGAATGTGATGCATCTGAGCTCATGGTGAGAAAGCGGTTAGACTGTAAAGAACACCTGAAGTTGATAACGCTTTGGTTGCAGGATTTAATGCTATCACAGAGAGAACAGGTAGAAGCCAGATGAACTGTTGACCACAGAATTCAGTAATGGTCATATTTTACCACAAAATCAAAAGATTTTTGATTAATATATATATATTTGCATATTTGTAAGAATACTGAAAATCAATGGGGTAATTATACACACACACACACACACACACATATATATATATATATATATATATATATATACTGTACATTTATATTATACATTACTATTTATTTTCTGTTTTTATTCTTAAATTATTTATTTATTTACTTATATCCTTATTGATGTATTTATCTGTCCCATATGATAATATTGTTTTCTTTTTTACAGAGAATATTTCTTAATGAATTACTTTTCCTTTTGAAATTGGGGAGAAATATGACCTGATTATATGATCATTTTCATGAGATTCAGCTGAATATATAATGAATTAAAAAGGTTATTTTTATGCATTATAATTCATTCACAATGCCTTATATTTCGACTTGTAATCATGTATATGTTCTCAAGAATATGCGTATCCCCAGTTAAATTACGTAATTTACATCCTTTATTAGAGAGTATAATGCATTATTGCACATTATCAATCGTGTATTATTGGTTATATTGGCATTTATTTATTAACGGGGTTGTACTACTTAATGTATTAAAACTTTGGTTATAATAAGCCTGCTTATGAAAATATAAAACAAATTACAATGTGCTCCTTGGAAAGCGTTGATTCTTCTGATTCAAGTCGAATCCATTAAATCATTCCGTAAGTGTGTGTAATCAAAGACGGCATGATAATTGCTATATATAGTGAATATAGGAGGTACCTTGTTCTGTACTACAGTGCCATTGGCTGAAGTTGCGACCAATGAGAATGAAGCTCCTGGTGGTGCCAGGTGGTTGGCTGATGTGCTGGATGATTGACAGAGGGACATACATGTCTTCCTGAGGACAGCTGGAGACACACAGACGAAACTGAATCGACACAAACATCTGATGGTGCATTGAAGAGCTAAGCATCTTCTGCACAAACAGAAGCAACTGATCACGTCTGTTCACACACAAGCTGCAGCGACAGACGTGTCTGGACCGCTCTGATGATACCGGAAACACACCTGCTTCTTTCGAACACTTTGACCGCCGTGTCACTGGCCAGCGAGCCCACCAGATTGACGATCTCTGTGAGGATGGAGGGCAGGAGGAAATGATGTGAGACTTCAGCTGAACAGTGCTGGATGGACGGACAACCTGCAAGAGAAAATAATTCACTGAATATTTCATTAGCGGACTTTCCTGTCTGTTAGGATGGTGATAAACACATCCAATCTTATTATAAACACTTATCATAATCACTTTAAACCTTATGATTGTGTCTCTTTAATTAGTTCTTCCGAAGTTTTGAAAGTGTTAAAAGGTTGTTGAACGCAAGGCAACGTTCCTAATTTTTGTTTTAAGTTTTAGGTTTTCATCTAATATATTTATTCTTTATTTTATTTCAGCTTTATTTCAGTTAATGAAAATATTTTTAATAGTTTTAGTTGTCATATGTCGTCTGTTTTTTTTGTCTTACCATCTGAACATGTTCATTTTATCATGGAAAGCTTGTGCAAATATCATTTTACAGACAAAAGTGTGAGAAACACAGCTCTGTGTGTGTGTGTGTGTGTGTACCTCTGGGCCTGCTCTTGCTCGACTGCCATGGCTTTCTCGTGGTTCCACTGCTGTTTGACGCTCTCCGTCTTGTGTCTCCGTCGGTTCACGCGACTGTCCTCGACACGCTCCGGTACGATGTCATCCGTCGTCTTCGGACTGCCAAGCTCAGAAGTTTCTGGTTTACTCTACCAAACACACACACACACACACACACACACACAGATAACTGGCAGCAGACCAGTGAACAGAAAGCCCAATCATTTCTCCGGCGTTTACGCTTCACTGAGTCCAGATCAACCGCATCATGCTGACCATCAAAGCAGTTTTGGAGGCGTTGACAGTCATAATTAATGAGAGTAATCTGCTGTTAATGGAGACTGCACATGCTGAGTGAGCGCACGCACCAGTATTTCCCAGAAGAAGCGGCGTGTGGTTTTGCCGGTGGGTGTGGTGGACTCGGGCGTGCTGGCTCCAGTGGTCGGGGTGGAGCTGGGCACAGAACTCAGGCTGATGGGAGACGGGCTGCTCTTCAGCCCATGAGCTCCACTGGGCCGCCGAACGCTCTCCTTCACCTCCTTACTGTCAGACTGCAGGAGACTCAAGGCAACTACAGACACACAACACACAAGATCAACGAAAGACAACAATATACACGACCGTTCAGAAGTATAGAATATGTTAGATTTTTTTATGTTTTTGCTCACCAAGGCTGCATTTATTTGATCAAAAATACAGTCAAATCAGTAATATTGTGAAATATTATCACTATTTAAAATAGCTGTTTTCTATGTGAATATATAGTAAACTGTAATTTATTTCTGTGATCAAAGCTGTATTTTCAGCATCATTACTCCAGTCTTCAGTGTCACATGATCTTCAGAAATCATTCTAATATGCTGATTTGCTGCTCAAGAAACATTTCTGATTATTATCAATGTTGAAAACAGTTGTGCTGCTTAATGTTTTTTTTGGAAAACGATACATTAGTTTTAAGGATTCTTTGATAAATATAAAGTTAAAAAGAACATAATTCATTTGAAAGATAAATTAACATTCTAAAATTTTTGTAACATTCTAAATGTTTTTTTTTTCTGTAACTTTTGATCAATTTAATGCATCCTTGCTGAATAAAAGTATAAATTTATAAAAAAAAAAAAAAATCTTACTGACCCTTTAATTACAATTAAAAAAGAAAATATCAATATTTTAAAATAAAAATTAAGGGATTTTTAAACTATTAATAATAATAATAATAATAATAATAATAAAACATAGAATGTCTACAAAACTTATTTTATATATTGAAGTAGACGCCTTAAAAATATTACTTAAAGATGCGATAACATTTTTATCGTGAGAAACATAATTTGAGACAGGTATGATTTTTTAATATTAGTGTATTTTTTCTTGTTCCAGCATTACTTTAGTATTATTTAGATTCTAATATAGTTTCTATTAATATTTTGAATCTTTTTTGTGTATATTTTCCATTTTCGTTTTAGTTCAAGTTTTAATAATAGTATGTTTTTGTCATTTTAGTAGTTCATATATATATGTATATACTGTATATATACACACACATATATACATATATATATACACACACACACACACACACACACACACACAAAAACTGAAATAAAAATAAAATGAATAAAAACTTGATTTTGATTCCAGTTTTAGTTATTTTAGTACATCAAGTTAGCTGAAAAAGTTTTTTTTAGATCTTATTTTATTTCAGTTAAAGTTTATTTTATTTCCAGAAACGAAGTAAAGTTTTTTTAATGGTTTTAATTTTAGATTCTGTTCTAGTTTTACTGTAATCCACTATATTACATCACGTGTGCATGAGCTGCTCACCTGTGCTCTCGTCCCGCTGGGTGGCTGCAGGCAGGCAGAAGGTGTCCAGACACAACGGGTTGGGCAGCACACGCATCTCCATGACGACGTCGCAGAGGGCGTGGCGTAGAGCCGCCCTGAGCCGATCGGTCAGCTGCAGCGGGCTGATGTTACCCTGCTCCCACACGTCGAAGCGCACTCGCACGGCTGCACCTGTGCACAGGCGTCCCAGAGCTCACACACACCTCACACACCGCTACTGTAAGCACTGTATGTTTGCTAAAGCATCCCAACCTGAGCTCTGGCTGCCAGAGTCCACTTTGACGACAGTCGTCAAGGCCTCGAACTGGTCCGGCTGGAGGGAGATGCTGGAGACGTCGCCTCTGAGAGCCGGGCCACTGCCGTCCTGAGCGGGAACCTGCAGCACGCAGCCTTTAGCGTCCACGAATGACAGCACGATGCAGGCGATCCCTGGGGAGAGCAGCGCGTTAACAGAGTTAGAGGAGAGAGTGATGGAGGCCAGAACTAAACGAGCTTGACAGAATAGCATGAATGATGCAAAAAATTATGCAAACTCGCATGAAAGCAATAAGTTCGGCTAGAGCTGAAAGACAAGAGATGCATGCTCATATGTCTCTTCAAATAAAGCCACTTTTATGCTCAAGGGGTTGATTTTATTAAAAGTAAACAATTTGTTGTTATTAAATCTGTTTTGAAACTTATTTTCATTTATTGTGCTTCTTTTTCAAATACCTTTTATATACAAATCTGATTACCCTCGACACAGCCTTTCAAACTTAAAATATGAAAATCAAAGATATTACATTTTATTTCATTTAAAGCAACAGATTTTTTTCTTTCATATAAAGGTCAAATTAAATGTATTTTATGTTTTAAACATCTTTATAAATTATTTTGCGTCTTTTTAAATGCATTTTATGTACAGAACAAATTACCTTTGACACAGAATCAACCTTTCAATCTTAAAATATGAAAATCCATTGTTTGAAACATTTTTGAAGCTATGATGTTAACAAAAAGTGAAACAAACCATTTCAATATATATTGTTTGAAAATGTATTTCATTGTTACTATGATGTCTATGCTGTCTTTCACAAAATAAACTTTTCCCCAATAATGTTTTTTCCCCCCAAAAGTTGTTGTTGTTCACAAAAATATGAGATAAAAAAAAAGTCAAATTAAATATTTGTGAAGAGCATATTTTTGTTGGGTGTCATTTCCAATCAAGCTGTAGTTTATGCAAAGAGTGTAAAAACTTAAAAAAAAAAAAAAAAAACTTAATTGTGTTTATTTAGGATACATAAAATGCTAGCTATCCAAATACTGACTGATTTGATTCCAGAAATGGTTAAATCATTTCCACAACTGTCATTTCCACCAGAGAATACTATATAGCACAATACAACATTTGAGATGTGGTGAAAATTACATGGTTGTAGAAATGATCAAGAATTGCAAAAACAAAGAAAACACAAAAATTACACAATTCCCTTGTAATTTATCTGCATACACACTTGAACATTGTTAATATGCAAATAAAATAAACAAGTTAAGGCAGTTGACACTAACGGAGATTTGCAGCAACAAACACTTATTTTCATTGAGAGCTGGAGATTTTGACAGAAGCCACTGGCAGTGTAACAAAGCACCGTTGTTATTAACTAAAATTTA